ATACGAACCTCGACTGGGATAACTCCATTTTCACTAGCTTATGGAATGGAAGTAGTGCTACCGATTGAAGTAGAGATCCTGTCACTTTGGGTCTTGACAGAAGTCAAACTGGATGATGCAGAGTGGGTACAATCCAAATATGATCAGCTTAATCTGATAGATGAAAAGAGACGGAAAGCCATTCATCGTGGTCAAATCTATCAGAAAAAGAATGATCCGAGAACATGACAAAAAGGTACACCCGAGAATATTCTGTGAAGGAGATCTGGTGCTAAAAAGAATTTGGCCAGTCCAGAAAGATTTCCGAGGAAAATGGACACCAAATTGGGAAGAACCTTATGTCGTAAAAAAGGCCTTCTCCAGAGGAGCCCTTGTCCTGGCTGAAATGGACGGACTTGAAATGCCACATCCCATCAACTCGGATGTAGTCAAAAAGTACTTCGCTTAGGATGAAAACCTGAAAGGGCGTCTTAAGTTGAAAAAAAGAGAAAAACACAAAAAAGGGAAAAAATGTTTAGGGTGAAAACCCAAAAGGGCGCCCTAAATTGAAAAAAAAGGAAAAAAAGAGAAAAAGAACAAAAACGAAAAAGAAAAATAAGGTGGGTTCAAGATGAAAACCCGCAAAGGGCGTCTTGCAACCAAGGATGGGTCCAAGTTGAAAACCCGAAAAGGGTGATTTGGATATTGACAGTGGAAACATCCCGACATCTGAATCTTCTACAAACTCAACAAGTCGGAGAAAGGTTGCACTCTCCAGAACGTTGTCGTATTTTCAAAAATCCTTTGGCAAAGGTTGTGTTCAAAGTCACCTGATGGCTTTTCAGCTCAGAAGTGCCCACATTATCGAGATCTCATACTTCATCATGTATTCACTCTCCAAAGTGTTTGTCATGTATTATTTGTTCTTTTTCTCCCTTATGAACAAAGACAATCTTTTCTCTAAATCAATTCCTTTTGAGCATCTTGAATTGAACTTAAACTCAATGATTTATCTACTTATGCAAAAGATAATCGCATATTACTGTATAAAAGATTCATTGAAAAGTACAGGTACTCGAAAGCCGATCAAGGCTCATTCACATACTTGAGATGGTCGGGAAGCATTTCCCAAATCAAGACACAAATAGAATGTGCACATCAGATTTAAACATTTGAAGAATTCAAGATCAGGGATCAGAACTTTAAGACTTCAAAATCAAGGGTCAACAACGATAGGCCACCGGATATCGAGATTTCTCTCCAGAGCCCAAAATAACATATGTTGCATATACATTTTAGGCACACCTAAGAGCATTGCATTCATAGCATCACATATATGCATATCTTTGCAGGTTTTATCTAGAGCCAATTTCAACTTCACAACGAAGGATATTGGACGAAACGAATCAATTTGCTCGAGAGTAGATTTCAACTTCAAGATGAAGGATATCTAGCTCAAAGCCAAACTTCAAACTTCACAATAAAGGGGTCATCCACAATTTCAACTTCACAGCGAAGGGAATCGTGTCCACCCGCAACATACAATACTTGGATTTCAACTTCACGACGAAGGATATTCAAGTCAAGGCAACTTCACGACGAAGGGGCCATCTACGATTTCAAATCCACGACGGAGGATATCGTGCCATTCGGGGCTTAACTTCACGACGAAAGGGCTTCCCAATTTCAGAGCCAATTTCAACTTCGCAACGAAGGATATTGGACCCAAGACAACACAAGCTCAACTTCATGACGAAGTGGCGGCTGATTGTCAACAAGCAACTTTTTTCAGAGTCAATTTCAACTTCACAGCGAAAGATATTGGACTCAAGACATCACAAGCTCAACTTCACAGCAAAGGGGCGGCTGACCGTCAACAAACAATTTCTCAGTTCCAGGACCAATTTCAACTTCACGATGGAAGATATTGGACTCGGAGCAATACAACTTAATTGGATTTCAACTTCACGAAGAAGGATATCTAATTACCAGGCTCAACTTCACGACGAAGGGGCCACCCGCGGTTTCAACTTCACAACGAAGGGAATCGTGCACACGAGCATCATCCATCTCTAGATTGGATTTCAACTTCACAACGAAGGATATTGGCCTCGAAACAACACAACTTACATTGGATTTCAATTTCACGACGAAGGATATCCAATTCTGGGGCTCAACTTCACGACAAAGGGGCCATACAATTTCAACTTCACGACGAAGGATACCATGCTCAGAGCTTTCCAGTTTCAACTCAACCCCACGATAAGGGAGTCATTTCATATACAATTTAAATTGACAAACCAGTCTTAATATCGAATTTCAACTCTACGATAGAGGATATTCAATATAGCTGAAATTTGTGTCTTTTAATCTTTGCTCTATTGTCGTTACACGATAATGAGCAAAGAGGGGCAGCTGAAGACACTAAATTTCATCCGTTATATAATATTTGCTAACTATATTATATAATATACATACTTATATATATATTTTTTATGTTTGTGTACAGGCCCTTTACAAATAAAAAATAACAACATATGGCCCAAGTCAGCTACCCAAACCCAATACACAAACTGGAGCCCGAACCCAAATCAGCTAGGGTTTGGGAAACCCTAGCTCTTTCATCTCCAGTCGCCATGCACCTTGACCGTTGGATCAAGGTGTGATCCAACGGTCCACAACAGACCCCTCTAGGGTTTCCAGAACCTAGCAACCTTTGCTCCATCAACGCCGCAACCTCTTCACTGAGGTCCCCTCATGCAGTACGTCTCCCAAGCAAGCCCCAACACCGCACGTTTGCCTCTAACGACCGAGATTCTCGGCCACGGATAACAAATCCGTTAGCAAGCAGTGTTTTAATAGGAATAGAATGATAAAAATAAGAGTAGCAAAGTTACTAGCAAATCACAACTAAACGTTCAGAGCCATTTCGAAGGTTTCTTGCAATATTTCGAAAAGAAAGGTAAAAAAGTTCATATCTTTGCATGTTGTTTTTCCTTGTCTTATGTCTTTATTGTGTCTTGGTTCGAAAGAAACCCAAAAAGATTGTTTCTAGCCGATGAACGGAGGGGCTTGGTCGGAGTATTCTTTAGTAGATCTAGCCCCCAAGGCTCATTTTTTAAAAAAATATTTTGATGTTTGAAAACTAGATTAAAAAGCTTTGGAAAAAAATAATTTTTGCCGTCGATGAACGGTGGCTGGCGAGACGGCGGGATCACCGGAATCTGGAAATTTGCGGCGGTGTTCATGTGTTCTTCAAGAACACAAAAACAAGTTGAGAGCATTTTAATGGGGGGGCTTTGATTTCAAATGAAAGGAAATGGAAAATTAGGCCAAAGCATTGGCTTTTATATTGGACCCGATCCAGCTTATGACCCGACCCACCGAACCCCTCAGACCCGCGTGTTCTTAATAAGAAGCGGAAGATTCGCATTTTGGTTCTCCAGGTTTTAAAACATTTAATTTAGACCCCGAATCAGTTTTTAAACCTCGATTTTCTTTTAATTTGGACACTAAATTTGGTTTACATTTCAATTTAGTCCCGTTATGATCATTTTACTATTTTTTTATTTTTTTAATTTTATTTATTTATTCCTATTTATTGTTTTTATAACCATTATTATTACTTTTAATATTAATATTATTATTATTATTTTTTCTTTCATATTATTTTATTTGTTTATTTTATTTCTTTTTATTTTTGTTTACAAATTATTATATATATATTTTTTATCTTTTATTTTTTTATACTACTATTACTATTTTTATTATTTTCTTCTTATTTTACTCATTTATATGTATATATATTACTTATTTATAGGTTTCTCTATTTTCTATTTATTGTTTTCGTTCATTTGTTTTTTTTATATTTATGTGTATATATATACATTTGTTTGTTTTGGTACAATACTTCTATGTATGCATAATATATTTATTACCTTTTCTATTTAAAAATATCATATACTATTATTATTTGTATATATCATTTGTTTCGTTCTTCCTTTTATCTTTTTTTGTTGTCTCTGTGTTTTTCTTGTTTTATTTATGTTTTTATTCTTTTTCCACTTTGTTATATATTTACGCATGTTCTATTTGTATGTCTACTCACGTTATCGTCTTTTTTTCAGTTTTGTTGTTGCTCTCATATTTACATGTGTTTTTTTTCTCTTAATTCGATCTTGTATTTCAATATAAGTCTAACATCTTTAAACTCTTAAGGGAATTTTCACCAATCAGAGGTAAGTAACTGGATATTATTTTTACCTTTAAATTTAACTTGCAACTTTCCTAATTTAAGACAACTGGAAATTACATAGTACCGAAAGGGTAGTTCAAGGGCACTAACCCTTCCTTGACTCTAACCGACTCCCGAATCCGACACATCACTGGTACAACGCAGATCAGGTAAGAAATAAGGTATCCGATCTACCTATTTATTTTTAATAAAAGATCGGTGGCGACTCCTAATCCACATTTTTCAAGTCGAAGCCCAATTCCGGGGTCCAACCGAAAGACGGTTCCGACAATTATACAACAGGTTACCGTTCAACTTAGACTGATGTCAAATTTTTAACGAAAAATGACGAGTTTGGAATATATGAATAGTTGGTGACTATTTTACAACTTTTAATAGTCGATGACTCAACAAAACACCACCCTATAATCAAATGATCATTTTGTAAGTTTTTATAGTCAGAGGACTCAACAAAACAATTACCTATAGTCAAGGTACCATTCGTATACTTTACCCTTCATTTAAATACTGTTCTTCTGCCTTAGAAATGCCGATCGATTTCGAGAAAAAAAATTCATCCTTTTCCCCCTTCCCAAAAGGTAACACTATTTAGCCCTCCTTTTTTTCCTATCAAACATAGTGTTAAGAGTCATAATTCGTGTTTTGTGTTAATTTTGTTAAGGAGTTCTATGAGGAATCACTTATATGAGCCATTAGTTGAGCAGCATAAGAAAATCAAAGCTAAAAATTCAGAAAATATATGGGTCCAATCATCTTTACTACTACCATGCTTTCAACACATCATACAAGTAGAGGCAGTATTCAATTCATACTCAATGATTCAAACATCATTAGGATTTGTCCATAACATAGAAGTTCCACTGACCTCCAATGAGATGGAATGTTCTAGAAAAAGTTACCATCATGGCCAAATACAGCAAAAAAGAGAGTACTATTGTGTCTCAAAATTTCACCTCAGTTGTCCATGTACCTTGCACACTAGGGTGTTTAGTTGCATGCCTCGTCTTCAATTTCACCACCTTTCTTCCCAAAGCGTTTCTTAGCCTGGTTGCATGAAGGAGGATATCTTCAGGAGTCAAATTCTTCATGCATACCACCCGCTCGTTTTTGTTCTCTGACAAATTGGCAAGAGATTAGTTTTTAAATGGCTGAGGTGATTTTGGAGAAACAATACATGTTTAAAGAGTAACTTACTGTAAAAAGGCCTTCAAATGTGGATGCTGTCCACGAATGAGTTCGGTGACCAGCTCCAGTTGAGGGTTTTTCTCTTTAAAAGTTGGTAATTCTGACTCCATAAATGCCCTGGCATAGTATTGTCAAAATTAGCATGACATTAAGAGTGAATTTGATGAATTCAGCGTCAATTCGAAGGAGAGAATCCATATCTGTACATGCTTTGCACAACGATTAATTATAACAGTTAACTTGAGACTACCATTGCATAGGAGTAGAATCCCATATCTGTACATGCCTTGTCATTCAACTTACTTGAAAAGGAATCAGTCTTGTACCATTATGTCATTAGAAAACTTAATCATGTAATAATGACTGAGAAATGCAGACCGTTAGATCTTATCATCCCCACAACATTTTTGTTAAAAGTGTTGCTCTGTTTTCCTTTTTGTCCCAAAATATTTCCATGGAACTGCAAACTTCAAATTTTCACCGGGAAGCATGCTTATTGTTGCATATTCATGCAGAGACAACTTGAGTATCCTAATGTAATCCAAAGTGCTAAGAATTCAATGGTCCAAATATTAAAGACAGCACTTCGTCTCAAAACGAAATCCATCATCATCTGTGACATCTTGCTTGATCTATGAAATACCATGATTTTGGTGAATAAATATCTAATCACTAGATTCAGATAATTAATAATTCAACTATCAATCCATCACGTTATGCTCGGATGAAAGTAACAAGACAGAGAATACCCCGGCATGATATAACGGGGTGGAAGCTGATTCATTCCTTATCTGGAAACTAGCCAGTTTATGCATAGTCAGAAGTTTTTTTTTTTGACCAAATACTCGAAAGTTACAATAGTTTAATTTATATATAGATACGAGTCTCCACAGCATAAACATGGAAATCTTTGCACAACTCTTTGACAAAAGACCAAGAGAACATTTAACAAAAAGGCGCCTGCTTTGTTAAGCAAACAAAAACAAGAATAACACATCACAGTACTGAAAATACAATATCAACCAGAAAGTTAGATTGTACTGAAGAGGTTTATGTAAATGTTAACAAGTGGGAAGAAGAAATGTTAAAATCATACCTGATGTCCCTACTACTCCCTCCCCGATCACAATAGCTTACAATCAGCATTTTAAGTTGCCAAACTCCCCTCAATGCCATCTGCATTTTCAAAAAAATAAAATAAAAAATCAACTAATTATATGTTTAACCTATTTTTTCTAATAGCAATACAGAAAAACAAATGAATTACACCCTTTGTTTTCCCAAATTATTTCCACAAAATCTAAGCTAATGCCAAGAAAAATACAAAAGAAAAAGTTCACTGATTTCGAGGTCAAATATCCTCCTATCGAGAAGGTTTGTTGTGCTCTAGTCTGGGCTACAAAGAGACTCAGGCAATACATGTTGTATTACACTACTTGGCTAATTTCCAAGTTAGATCCTTTAAAGTACATGATGGGTGTACCTGCTCTATCTGGAAGGTTAGCCCGATGGCATATGCTATTGTCTAAATTTGACATCGAATACGTGAGCCAGAAAGCAATCAAAGGAAGTGCCATATCGGAGTTCTTGGCAAGTAGAACCGATGAGAATTACGAGCATTGGACTTTGATTTCCCAGACGAAGACCTGATGGCTATATCCTTAGAAGAAGCAAGTACTTCAACAGACAGTTCCTGGAGAATACATTTCGATGGTCATCGAATGCATTAAGACATGGCATCGGGACAATCCTGATCCCTCCAGAAGGTAATTACTACCCATTTACCAGCAGACTGAACTTCGATTGCACCAATAACATGGCAAAATATGAAGCTTGTGTCTTGGGAATTCGGGCAGCTCTGGGACAAAATATAAAGACCTTGCGGGTATACAGAGACTCAGCCTTAGTAATCTATCAGCACCGTGGATAATGGGAAACCAAGAATACAAAGCTGATGGAATACCGGAAGCTAATACTGAATCTGCTCGAAGAATTCGATGAAGTCACCTTCCACTACGTGCCTAGAGAAGAAAATCAAATGGTTGATGCTTTAGCTACATTGGCAGCCACATTCAAGGTTGGCGGGGAGTCTGAAATGATGCCAATTGACATGCAGTCGTATGAGTACCCGGCTCATTGCTACCAAATTGAGGAAGTGAAAGATACTAAGCCTTGGTAGTACGACATTCTGCAGTATATCAAGTATCGAAGTTATCCAGAGGAAGCCACCGAAACCTATAAAAGAACCATTAGAAGGATGACAGCTGGATACGTCCTTGACGGGGAGGTCTTGTACAAGAAAAGCCATAATCAAGTCATGTTAAGGTGCGTCGATGCTGAAGAAGCAAAAATGATAGTGGAAGAAGTACATGACGGAGTTTGTGGAACACATGCAAATGGACATATGATGTCAAGACAAATAATGAGATGCGGATATTTTTGGTCCACACTAGAAAGTGACTGCATCAACTACGCAAGAAGATGTCATAAATTTCAAATTTATGGAGACAAAATAAATGTTCCACCCCATCCACTTCATGTGATGATGTCACCATGGCATCTTCTTGTAGCCATCGATTATTTCACAAAATGGGTAGAAGCTGCGTTGTATGCCAGTGTCACTCAATCCACTATTAGCAAGTTTCTGAAGAAAAAGATCATATGTCGGTATGGTCTACCTGAAAGGATCATTACCGATAATGCTACAAACTTGAACAATAAAATAATGGATGCTGCCTGTGAGCAATTCAACATAAAACATCATAATTCTACTGCTTATAGACCAAAGATGAACGAAGCAGTAGAGACAGCAAACAAAAACATCAAAAAGATAGTGGAGAAAACGACCGAGACCTACAAAGATTGGCATGAAAAATTACATTTTGCTTTGTTCGCTTACAGAACCTCGGTACGAACCTCGACTGGGGTAACTCCATTTTCACTAGCTTATGGAATGGAAGCAGTGTTGCCAATTGAAGTAGAGATTCCATCACTCCGGGTCTTGACAGAAGTCAAACTGGATGATGCAAAATGGGTGCAATCCCGATATGATCAACTGAACCTGATAGATGAAAAGAGACTGAAAGCCATTCACCATGGTCAAATCAATCAAAAGCGAATGATCTGAGTACATGACAAAAAGGTGAGCCCGAGAATATTCTGCGAAGGAGATCTAGTGCTAAAGAGAATTTGGTCAGCCTAGAAAGAATTTCGAGGAAAATGGACGCCAAATTGGGAAGGACCTTATGTCGTGAAAAAGTCCTTTTCTGGGTGAGCCTTTGTCTTGGCTGAAATTGATGGACCTGAACTGCCACATCCCATCAATTCGGATGCAATCAAGAAATACTTCGCTTAGGATGAAAACCCGAGAGGGCGTCCTAAGTCGAAAAAAAAACGTTTAGGGTGAAAACCCGAAAGGGCGCCCTAAATTGAAAAAAGAAAGAAAAATTAAAAAAAAAAGAAAAATTGAAAAAAGAGAAAAGAGAAATAAGATGGGTTCAAGATGAAAACCCGCAAAGGGCATCTTGCAACCAAGGATGGATCCAAGTTGAAAACCCAAAAGGGCGATTTGGATATTGATTCAAGAAATCCAGACAGTGGAAACATCCCGACATCTGAATCTTCTACAAACTTAACGAGTCGGAGAAAGGTTGCACTCTCCAGAACGTTGTCGCATTTTCGAAGATTCTTAGACAAAGGCTGCATTCAAGGTCACCTAACAGCCTTTCAGCTCAGAAGTGCCCACATTATCGAGATCTTAGACATTCATTCATACTTCATCATGTATTCATTTTCCATAATGTTTGCCATTTATTCATTTGTTCTTTTCCCCTCATGAATAAAAACAATCTTTTCTCTACATCAATTCCCTTTGAGCATCTTGAATTGAACTTAAACTTAATGATTTATTTACTTATGTAAAGGATAATTACGTACTACTGTACAAAGAGTCATTGGAAAGTACAGGTACCTGGAAGCCGATCAAGGCTCATGCACATACTTGAGATGGTCGAGAAGCATTTTCCAAATCAAGAAAAAAAAAGAATGTACACATCAGATTTAAACGTTGAAGAATTCAAGACCAAGAATCAGAACATCAAGATTCCACAATCAAGAGTCAATGAGACAAGAGATCGGAGATCGATATTTCTCTCCAGAGCCCAAAATAACATATGTTGCATATCAATTTTAGGCATGCCTAAGAGCATTGCATCCATAACATCACATATATGCATAACTTTGCAAGTTTTAGCTAGAGGCAATTTCAACTTCGCAGTGAAGGATATTGGACTTGAAGCGACACAATTTGCTCGAGAGTAGGTTTCAACTTCACGACGAAGGATATCTAACTCGAAGCCAAACTTCACAACGAAGGGGTCATCCACGGTTTTAACTTCACGACGAAGGGAATCGTGTCCACCCGCAACATACGATACTTGGATTTCAACTTCACGACGAAGGGGCCATCCATGATTTTAACTCCACTACGGAGGATATCATACCCACACATCCACGATTTCAACTCCACGACGGAGGATATCGTGCCATTTGAGGCTCAACTTCACGATGAAGGGGCTTCCCAGTGTTAGAGCCAATTTCAACTTCACGGCAGAGGATATTGGACTCGAAACAATACAACTTACTTGTATTTCAACTTCACAATGAAGGATATCCAATTCCAGGCTCAACTTCACTACGAAGGGGGCACCCACGGTTTCAACTTCACGACGAAGGGAATCGTGCACACAAGCAACATTTGTCTCTAGATTGGATTTCAACTTCACAATGAAGGATATCCAACTCAAAGAAGGAATGTCTGTCAATAAACTTTCCAGTTTCAGAGTCAATTTCAACTTCATGACGAAGGATATTGGTCTTGGTACAACGCAACTTACATTGGATTTCAACTTCACAACGAAGGATATCCAATTCCCAAACTCAACTTCACGACGAAGGGGTCGTATACATATAAAACTTCACAACGAAGGGTATCGTACCCTAACAGATTGACCCAACTTCACGACGAAGGAGTCATATGTGGCACAACAACACCAAAGTCTTCAGGACAAGTTTCACCTTCACGACGAAGTATCTTGGGCTAGAAGACGATCCAGGAGATACTTCCTAATACTCTGAGTTCGATTTCAACTTCACGAAGAAGAATGTCGAGCTCAGAAGTTTCAAGTTCAACGCAA